CTATATCTTGCCAGTAAATTAACAGAAAATGCTATGTCAGGACTTGTAGCATTAGCAAGATACCTTAGTGCACCAATTGCACTGAGATATGATACTTCGGGACCAAGGAGTTCCTCAACCTCTTCTGGAGGTCGGAACAAATCTTTATTTACTTCAAGTGATCGAACAACCATTGGTGTACTCAATGGGTGCGCTTTGTTCATGTAAAAGCATTTTAAGACCCTTTCTGTATAGGCAGATTGATGGATAAAGATCCCGTCTGCTAAATGTTCAATTTGCAGACCAAGACAAAGTTTTGTCTTTCCAAGATCTTTCATCTCAAATTCTTTCTTAAGATATTCAATTGCCTTTTGGAGCTCTTCTGGAGTTCCAACAAGATTTATGTCATCAACATAAACAGCAAGTATAACAAATTCTGATGCCATTTTCTTTATAAAAATACATGGACAAATAACATCATTTATGTAACCCTCTTTCAGCAAATATTCACTGAGGCGATTATACCACGTGCGCCCAGATTGCTTTAAACCGTACAAAGATCTTTGTAATCTGATTGAGTACATTTCCCGAGATTTTGAATATGCTTCAGGCATTTTAAATCCTTCAGGGATTTTTATGTAAATTTCATTATCAAGTGACCCGTATAGATAAGTTGTAACCACATCCATTAGATGTATTTCAAGCCTTTCACGTAAGGCTAAACTGATGAGATATCGAAATATTATGACATCCATAACGGATGAATATGTTTCTTCATAATCGACTCTAGGTCGTTATGAGATTCCTTGTGCAACAAGGCAAGCCTTATATCTTTCAACTTCATTTTTATCATTCCTTTTCTACACAAAATCCTATTTATGACCAACTGGCTTTATACCAGCAGGTGTTTGGACTATTGGTCCAAAGACCTCTCTTTTAGCAAGTGACTTCAATTCCGATTGAATTGACTCTTGCCATTTTGGCCAATCGGATCTTTGTCGACATTCTTCGACAGATCGGGGTTCAAGATTCTCACTATCTTCCATAATGTTAAGTGCAATATTATATGCAAAAATATTATTCACCACTATTTCAGATCGATTTAAATTAATCCCATCACCAGTAGAACTTATTAAAGGTTCCTCACTCAGTTGAGTCTCGAGTTCATTGATTTCTTCAGAAATCTCAGAACTAATCAGATCTTGGGTCTCTTCAGGAGATCCCTTCATAATATCATTTTGATCATTTGTCGATTTTCTTTTTCTAGGATTTCACTCCTTAGAACCCAAAGGCCTACCACACTTCGGGCGTGCTTTAGGTTCACTAGCTCTCATGCTAGTAAATGGTCCTGTTGGGACATCAATTCGGATAGACACATTCTCTGCAGGGATATGTGACTTAGTTATCCTTTTCAAATCAGTAAATGTGTCTCGCATTTGATTTGTTATATTTTTTAAATGGATGATCTTCTGGACTTCCTGATTACATATAGGGGTACGTGGATCAAAGTGAGATAATGATGAAACTTTCTACACAATTTTTCTTTTGATTTTCCTTTTCTCTCCCCCTAATTGTGGAAAATTTGTTTGATCAAATCAACAATCTGCAAATCGAGCAGTAAATAATTCTCCCATCAATGGTTCAAGATAGCGAATAATAGAGGGTGATTCAAACCCAACATATATTCCTAACCTTCTCTGTGGGCCCATCTTACTGCGCTGTGGTGGTGCTACTGGCATATATACAATACATCCAAGAATTCGTAGATGGGCAATATTTGGTTCATGACCAAAAATTAATTATGACGGAGAATATTTATTATAATGTGTCGGTCTAAGACGGATAAGTCATGTTGCATGTAAGATAACATGGCCCCAAACAGTAGTGGGCAATTTTATTTTCATAAATAGTGATTTTGCTATCAACTGCAGGTGTTTAATAAATGACTCTACAAGGCCATTTTGAGTATGAACATAAGCTACAAGATGCTCAACTTTTATCCCAACTGATAGTCAGTAATCATCAAAAGCTTGAGATGAGAATTCTCTAGCATTATCAAGGCGAATAGCCTTTATAGGATAATCTGGGAATTGTGCCCTTAATCGAATTATCTGGCTAATAACTTTGCAAATGCCAGGTTGTAAGATGATAGTAGGCACTCATGAGACCATATTAAAGACGCATCTATTAGGACCATAAAATATTTAAACAGCCCACTTGGTGGGTGAATAGGTCCACATATATCCCCATGTATACGTTCTAAAAAGGTAGGGAATTCAATGCCAGCCTTCATTGGTGATGGTCTAGTGATCATTTTGCCTTGATAACAAGCATCACAAAAAAATTCATTATTTGTAAGAATCTTCAAGTTCTTTAATGGATGCCCACTCTAATTTTCAGTAATTCGTCTCATCATTATTGATTCAGGATGGCCCAAACGGCCATGCCAAAGCATAAAAGTATTTGAATCCGCAAACTTCTGATTTACGATAGAGTGTGCTTCAACTGTACTAATTTTTGAATAGTATAAGCCAGAAGATAAAGTTGGTAACTTTTCTACAATGCATTTCTGGCCAGAAATATTCTTTGTAATACAAAGATATTCCACGTTCATTTCATTTATTATCTTAACATGATACCTATTTCGGCGGATATCTATAAAACTCAACAAGTTTCTTCGGGACTTGAAGGAGAATAATGCATTATCGATAATAAGTTTTGTTCCCTTAGACAGAAATATAATGGCTCTTCCGAAGCCTTCAATCAAACTTATATTACCAGAAATTGTTGAAACATTTATTTTTTTCTTATACAAATAAGAAAAGTATTTTCGATCCTTGAATATGGCATGGGTTGTTCCATTATTAATTACACAAATATCTTCATGATTGGTCTTTTATCCAAACATAATATGAGGATTATCCATATTCTTCAAAATGCATAAATAAAATATATTATAGTAAACATCATTATCAAAGCATAATTTTTATTTATGTACAACAATTACATAACCATACTATCTACTACAAACAACCAAAATTAAAATATTTACATTTCTACAGATTCACTATCGATCACATGACTTGTTTCTCCTTCTGGGAGTGCAAAGTAATCAGCTACATCCAAATGCATGAAGTCTAAATTATCTTCAGAAATAAAATTTGCTTCAGCATTTTTCTCTGTCTTCTTCAGAGAGGCTTGATACAACTCAACCAGGTGCTTTGGCGTACGACATGTACGTGACCAGTGTGCCCTTTTCCTCCATATCTATAGCATGCATTTTTTGGCTTTGCTGCTTGCACCGCTTCATGCTTTTGTTCCTTCCTTTTCCACTGTTGGTGGTGAGAAGGGTTCTTTGGTGCATTATTATTACCACGATTAGAGTTTTCTCCCCGATCACAGCCATGACCACGACTGGGGCCACGTCCTCTTCCACGCTTAGCTTGGTGGAAGTTCGTCTCATTTACTTCAGGGAATGGACAAGAATCAGTAGGTCGACGACTTTCATGATTTTTCATTAATAGCCCATTATGCTGCTTGGCTACAAGAAGATGTGAGATAAGTTCAGAATATTTTTTGAATCCTATCTCTCGATATTGCTGCTACAGAAGCATATTCGAAGCATAAAAAGTGGTGAAAGTTTTCTCCAACATATCATGATCAGTAATATTATCACCACATAGTTTTAATTGGAAAATAATTCTGAACATAACAGAATTATACTCACTGATAGATTTAAAATCTTGTAGCCTTAGATGAGTCCAATCATAAAGTGCCTGTGGAAGAACGACCATCTTCATATGGTCATATCTATCTTTCAGATTATTCCACAGTATGACTGGATCTTTAACAGTAAGATATTTCATTTTTAGGCCCTCATCAAGGTGATGACGTAGGAATATCATTGCTTTGGCACGGTCTTGGTTTGATGCCTGATTTTTATCTTTGATGGTGTCTGCCAGACCCATCGCATCAAGATGAATTTCGGCATCAAGCACCCAAGACATGTACCTTTTGCGCGATATATCCAGGGCTACAAACTCAAGTTCAGAAAGATTTGACATTATTTAGAAAAAGAAAGTTCGTAACTCTGATACTTTCAAAGTATTTTCTCGAGATGACAGAGTCTCGTGCTGATAACGTGTTATAAAATAAAGATTGTAAAGTAAAAACAAGTATAGAGAGAAACTGATATATTATTCAAATTTCAAACTTATGTCCATAATGAACTGAAAACTCCTCTATTTACAGAAGAAAGGAAGCAGCTGCGCGATTTTTCATGAAGCAGCTGCAAGGTTTTTCTTTAGCTGCTTGTAAGCTGTCTGCATGAGCTGCTTGCAACCTGCATGTTTAATAAGAAACTGCTGCAAATCATTTCATTGAGCTGCTTGCAACCTGCCTGCATCAGCTGCTTGTAGATAAACTTCAACAGAGTACTAAATGGATAATCTTTTTCAGGAAGATTATCTATAACAGAATAATAAATAGACATCCACAATAATTATTTTCATAACACTTACAACTATTTTAATTGTACAAATAGTTTTTTGAAGCGTCAGTGCATAAATAGATTTTACTAAACATTACCTTGGAAAATTTGAAACTAACTTAGCACCACTCTCAGCTCATGAAACAAATATAAAATGCAAATAAAATTCTACTAAAAATAGTGTATAACCATCAAAATACGACAAGTTAGAGACACGAAAAAATAGGGGTTGGATAAATTTGTAGCACAGTGTATGGGTAGCTCTGCAGAAGCACGTGAGCCAGATCAATATGTAAGATTCTGCTTTAGCCAATGCACGCCTTGTACCACATAATTTTGTTTACTATCCACTCTTTCTGATTATATTCTCATGCTTAGTATGGTCCTCACGTGATTTTCTTCCAACCAAAGTAAAGATTCCCCGGCTGAGGTTTCAATTTTTTCTTTTTGAGACGTATATATATCTATAATATGTATATATTTTGATTAATATCCTAAAATTCAAATCTTAAGTTGTTGCATTGGTCGATTTGGAGTCACAACTTACTTTTAGTGCATTGATTGGGTTCAATTCCGCCTCTAGCACTTGCTCAAATTTTTATTTGACAGTAGTACCCGCTAATTCCAAATATTAGGTCCGCCTCCGCGAATATCTATATATAGCAGTGGTCTTTACTCACTTCCCACCTTGAACTAAAGCAGCTTGTCATAGTATTAGTGAGAGCTTACACATCAAGAAGCCAGCTGAAATCAATTCAGAAATGGGTCAGAGGAAAACTTTTGGGTTTATCTTTGTGCTTCTCATGATTTTTGCCTTACGTAAGTCTCGCTCATTTCGTCGGTCGCTTTTTATTTACTTTGCTCTACATCTACTAGTCACGAATTTATCATACAAATCAATCAATCTATCTAAATTAGTTGGGATGGGATATATGAATCTTATACATCCATTCCCCATTATTCTAACCTTTTTATTTTAACACTAATTGTCAACTTACCTCAACTCGTTTTCTTATTCGGACATAGAACCATTTGTGTTTGCAAAACACACGTAGGAGCGGAGCTAGAGCTTAAGGCGCGAGTTTGGTCGAACCTAATAACTTTGGTCAACATTCTGTATTTGTCTTTAAAAATTCATTGAATATATAATAAATTATTAATTTAAAACCCAATAACTTGAAGGAATAGAATCCCGAACCCATTAACTTTAAATCTTGGCTCTGTCTCTGGTCATGGAGTTATGCTTATTTATCTCATCAACTATAGTTAAAAGAATTTTTTTTTAATATATGCAGAAATGGAAATGATGCCACAAGTAGAAGCAAGAGTTTGCATGTCACCTAGCCATGGATATCATGGACCTTGTTGGCATGATCACAACTGTGCTCTTGTTTGCAGAAATGAAGGTTTTTCTGGTGGTGACTGTGTTGGTATTCAACGCAAATGCTATTGCACTAAGTTTTGTTAATTAATTTCTATCTCTGCCACATAAAACAAATGGAGGCACTAATTTCTATCTGTTTTCGTTCCTCTTTTATCTGTTTAATTTCTATCCTTTTGGAAGGATATTTATGATGCTTGTTTGTAGCCTTTCTTAATCATTCAATGAAGATTTTCAATTCGTCTTTGCTGAATTGTCATGTCCAGATGTTGAAAACTTGACTTGTTTAGTTGTTCTGTTTATGGGATGGATTTGCAGCTTATAGCAATTCAGACAAGGAGTTTAGTTTTAATTTGAAACTTAATCGATCCAAAAGTTAAAACATGTCTGAACAAATAACTCCCTTTCTGGATACATAAATATACCATTTCATACAAAACAGGAGTTCTTACTGTATTGAAGTGTCAAATGAAAGTAGAGTAAGTGTAATGCATCTTCCAATAGGAATGTGTCTCAATTTCTGCATACTGTAGGGTCAAATTACGGGGAGCCTTGGACCAACTGATTCCGTGTGACCTATAGCTCACTGATTCGAGCAGTAGAAGCCGTCATTAATGCTTGCATTAGTGTAGGCTATTAAATTACCCCTCTAGGGGTGTGAGCCTTCCCTCGATCCTGCCTAAATGCGAAACACTCTGTGCATCCGTTTTTTTTTTTTTTTTTTTTTTTTTGTATTCTGAAGTTATTCAGGAAGAAGAAATACAGAAGCAAAAGTAAATATATGCTCACATTTAAAAGGAAGTGTTAAAACTTAAAAGTATGAGCATCTGAGTTTGGTTCAAGATTTCTATAAACCCCTTTGGACACCCATTCTTATACTGAATAAGTACACTATATGAATCAACACCCTTCCTCATATTATCTCAAGTAAATTTTGGACATGAGTGCAAAAAATGGACTTGCCAATAGGTGATTTTGATGCAAAAATCTTAAACCAATGGATGAATTTTTCCAAAACCTTTATCAACACCTTAAACAGGCGATGTTAGAAAATATGACTCAACAACAACAGACAGCATATTCCCATAGGTGAGGTCTGGGGAAAGTAGCGTGTAAACTGTTTTTCCAATAGACACTCTAAAACTCAACAGAAATGATAAATGAAACTATTCTGCTGTAGGTGGACCAGAGGTACTGCCTGCAGACTATTCTACATTGTTATAAATTTAGAAAACAGGTTACAAATTGTGCTGCTACCATCTTCATAAATGGTAAAAGTGTTATTATAGGGTTGAAACAAAGTACATCATTCCACCAATCAAGTAAGCAACTTGATAGAACTGAACGGAGAAAAAAGTGAAGCCCTTTCCTACAGCAAACTGTATTTTCTAGAAAACAAATGGAATCAGAGCCTTTACATTCTTAGGAAAATTTTCAAATTTGGAAAGGTACCATTTCCTAGTGACATAACTCCTTCCCATCAGATATAAAGCGCAACCCATAGCACAGCAAAATGAAAATGATGTCTGGGATATGAATGCAATCCCTAAAAAGCCAAGAATCTCGAAAAGATAATGAGGGCATATGACCAATCCAAAAAGGCCACCTTGGGGAATTTTATAGCCCTTCTCTCTGTTGTCTCTGAGTTTGGAAAGGATGTAATGATGATAAAAGTTACCACTGATTCCAACTACGAATATCAGTAAACCGATATACTTCAGATCAATTTCTGGCTCCGTATGTCCAAGAATTAAGTGTTGGATATAGGTCATGGCTGCAGCCATCATAAAATATGCGGACGAAATAATGAGTGCTGTACCAAGAACCATCCCACCACTGTATTTGTGAACAAACAGAACCTGCAAAGTAGAAAATTACGGGAATAATGTATGAACATATGAAAGCAAAACAGTATAAATGTAAGCAGCAGGAAAGTCTATTAGATTTCTGGTGAATGTATTCAATATGTTTCTCCTCGTCAACAAAACAAGCTGGGGCTAAAGTGCGATCCAATGCAGGTAGTGGTAATGTCATAACAAGTGCTAATATGTGACTTCCGAAAATTTCATATCGACTTCTGTCAGCATCAGGTGAGCTGGGAAACTAAAAGTAAATCTAAGCTATTAGTGAGAATTTTGTATATTGCCAGAGGATAGGATCATAGCTTGAATAGTGACTTCAAAGGTGAAGATAAAAGAAGTTCTCTGTTCTCCACGGTAGTTAAATAATTAATTAGCACTACCAATCAAATCTTTACAATAATTTGGAATTATTATTACCCAAATCTGGAATTTTGCTCGCATAAATATATTACGAACATAGCTAGTGTATTTGATGGAGAGGATACACATGGCATCTTTCCAGGCTACACAGTATAAGCAAGGAAAGATATTCAAAGCATCAGTATCCTGAGAGCTACAGAAAACCACCAGGAAAGCCAGATTCAAAATATTTGTGCATTTAGATGGAGAAGTTCTTCCTTCTCCCTATAACTTCAAATAGATTTTTAAATCAACAGAATGGAAATCAAATTTCTATGCAACACCAACAAGTCTCCGACTATTCAGATTCAGTGGTTATCATGATAATTTAGTCCCCATCTTACAGCAACATCAATACTAGTTGGTTCAATCTATCAAGAGAAATCAGTTTGGTATAATATATTAGTTGGTTCAATCTATCAGAGAAATCAGTTTGGTATTGCTTACTAAGTTACTTTCTTACTTGAGATTAATACTTTGAGTTAATCGATCGTGCTGAAGATTGCACTGATTGGTATGAACTAGTGGAACGAAGTAGGAATCTTGTAAGCATTATAAAGGTTGATAGTGCTAATTTGGTGTGTATACACATGTGCTTGAAGCAGCGTCAAAGAGCTCAACTGCTCAAGTGACATTTTTCCATAGACGGGGAAAAAGATCCAACCTATTGATAAAGGATGATAGGATATCAGGGAAGAAGCGAGAGAACCAAAATGGTACTCTAGATGTTAAGAATTGAAGGGCTACCCAACATGAGCTTCCTATACAAATGGCTATGAAGGTAAAATAACAATAGAAGATGCTCTGAGGAGGAAGGTTGTCAATGCAAATTTGGCCAAGACATCTTTGGACAACAGATGTTTCCACGACTAACGGACTACGCCCTTGGAAACACAACTGAAACTTATAGGAAGAGTTTAAACCTTAAAGAAAACATTTACCATAAAGTGGGAGCTGGATGGAAGATTAAATTTTAGTAGGATAAATTGTTAGCTTAGGCATTGAGACAGAGGCAGACCCAGGATTTGAAGGGAGTGGGAACACATGAGCAGACTGCTCAACGAGTGGCCCCATCGACTTTTGATCTTAAGGGTTCCAAACAAAATATATGACTGTTTTCAACATATATACACATATATATCCAGAATTTTTTGCCGAGGTTAACGGGGTACTCCAAACATAGGTCCGCCTCTGCCTTGACAGAGGAACCGCACGATCATTTAAGATTTACCTCATACCCTGAAGCTACAACACTCCAAATGCAAAGGAAATGATAGCGGGAAGTTTAGCTTCATAAGGTATAGGCAAGATTGGGGGATTATATATAACCTATAAGTTCCCTGTTGAGATAACTGGAGGGAAGGATTTCATTTCTAGGATTCCTATTTAGAGAGACTATTTCAGACAGACTAAATATATATTTTCAAACAGGTTTGAAAAAATATAAGAGTAAAAAACTATGATAAATATACAAAGAAAAGAAAAGGAGTGAAGCAAAAATAGTAAAAATAACCAAAGTGAAAGAAACGGGAGAAAGATAGGCATTACCCAAAAACATTCACAAAAAGGAACACGAAAAAAGTTACCTCAAGATCCCTTTTCAAGAAATGGATAGTAACAGCAGATTTAAGCATCATAAACCTTATTCCACCATTTGGGTATAGCAGAAATGAAGCAAAGCCCATAATACAAGCTGGGGTATACAGTATAAGCATCCCAATTCTGCTGGATAATTTGGCCTGCAGAAAATTACTAGGGGAAACAGAATTGGGATTCACATTCCAAAATTTGGAGTATTGGAGATGTTTCCCTATTATTTCAGAAATACCCAAGTAGGCTAGAAATGCAAAAGTCACCACAGTTATTGCTGTGATGATTGAAGATGGCTCTTCATACAAGAAGCTTTGAAACATTTTTATTGTTCTTTCAGATCTTTAATATTGTTTTTATTGTTCTCAATATTCAAACTAGAGTAATAACCTACGGTCGCCTATTTATAGAAAATGTGTTTGATATTCTTCTATACCAAACAAAGTTAGCAGCAGCTTAACTATGTCATTTTCGAAGAATCAAGAAATTTGTCCTTTTTTGTTGTCCAAATCGCCCTTGTACTAATTGAAATTGGTTAAATTTTGTCCGTAGTTGGATTTTTTTTATTTGTTCACACCTTTGCCATTCGCATTCAGCATAACAACTTATTTGGATGGTTGTTATATATCAATACTATATTGTATTTGTATTGTATTGTTTTGATATATATATATATATATATTTTTTGGATATATTTTATTATTTATCGTATTTTATGATGTCATGCATCAATAATATGAAAAATAAACTTGCAATATTATAAAGAAACAGTAAGAATACGAGATAATATTATTATCTAAAAATATGGGGTAAAGGATAAAATAAAATTATGTAATAATAGAAAAAGACAAGATGAGATAGTAAAATAAGGTAACAACGCAACCACACTAAATCGGTCATTCCATAAAGTGACATTTTTCTTCGTTACTTAACGACGGACTTAAAAGTACGATATAATAAAAATTAAATAACAATCAAAACAAACATTGTATTTAAAGTAACCGTACCATGCAATATAACATGTACTTCATGTGTCCAAATCTTTTGAGAAAATATATCTTTCAATTTTTTTTTACTAAGGTCTAAAACTACTATCAACTTGAAGTTACCAAATGTATAAGAAGAAATTTGACAATTTTCAAATGAGTTTTGAAAAGATTTGTTAAAAAAAGAAAAGTGTAAAGGAGGAAAAAGATGTCACAAATATTTCAAAAACAAAAAACAAAGAAAACTTTAAATAAAGTTACTGAATTTAATGCTTTATTGAATTTTCATACGGATAAACACCATACGTCTTTTTCCTTATCGGGAACTCGGCTTTTAGGATCCTACAATGAATGACACAATTGATTGCGGGTGGAGGTCTCCATTCTTTTGACAGGGAGTATTTTATTTTTTAATA